ACTAGTGAGTTTTTACTTTATGGTGTTGTGAAAGCAATGCATTTAGTAGAAAGTATGGTGAGATTTTTCTCTGACCTCATCTACATCTTCAACCATTAAAACTCCATTAAATGAATTCACAAGAAACAAGTGTAGTGTAAATGACAGGGGAAATTTCAAGGGATAAGGGTGTGCAGTGGCCAAAGGGACCATTGTAGAGAAGAGCCCTCTCATGCCAGGGGACAGTACACAAGGCCAGCAGGACCATTGCTTTGGCTCATATGTTTAGTTATGTTTTACCATTATCCCTTCAGCCCGGGAACAGACAGCTTTCCCGAGGGGCATTTTCCTGCCCACATTGACAACCTCACTTGGGTTCACTCTTGCAGGAGGGGTAAGGATTTGTCAAAGCTTCTGCTAGACAGCAGTCTTACAATGTTTGGGGTTTCTGCATCCTGTTGTAGATAGTATTGATGGCTTTCTGAGCAGTTCAGGAGGTCACATCTCCAGGGCCAGAGATTTGACTCAGGTCAATTAAAAATAACTGAAGTCCTGCAGCTCCAGTCCTTGGCTTTACATGCTGTGCGTTATGGGGGAGGGGCCCAGCATCAGCATCTTTAAAGCCCATTAATGTCTAAATAGCTCCACACAGAAACCATATCCTGACATCTTAGAATCCTTTCTGCAGTGAGTTATGAGTGATGTCCCCTCTTACCATGTCAGGCTGTGGCTGTGAACCACGGCATCCACAACCGGGAGAATAGGTGACTGTGTCACTTACAATGTTCTGTAGTTTAGGTTGTTAAACCTTTTTTATTTAGTGTATTTTCAAATGACATTAATTTTTGTCAGTACATGGCTTATCTTAAGCCACCTGTATTCTTTTTAAGTTTTAACTAATATTGCATATTCATTTTAAATATAATGTCCTTGAATGTTTCTTTAAGTTCTGAAACCTCAATTTACAAATGTACATTGATTTGCACTGACCCACAATGAGTCGTTCTCTTGGGTGATCTAGCACTCCCCTTTAATGGCTGCTAGACACTCCCCCTATAACTTCCTTGGCATCCCCTCTAATTTCATTAAATATTCAAATGTGGCATTTTGAGCCTTTAAGA